ATGAACCTGAGTTTATTTTTGATCGCCAGCCAGCACTAACTATTATTTAAGATAATTTTTCATAATAAATTACAGTTATTTGTAATGATAAATTACATAATTTATAATTATTTTTTCTTATTTATTTAAAATTTATTTATTACTCTATATAAAAGAAAATAAATCATAATTACACACAATAAAATGTATTCAATTAATTATAATTAGCTTAATTTTAATATATATATTTTTTTACTTTCTAAGCAATTAATTAAATTTACGACAATTAATAACATTATTTATAAACTAAAAAATACTTTATAATAAAGTAATTATGGAGGAATTGACGAGGGTGACGGGTATTAATTATTCTAAACAAAATATAGTTTATTATTTAATTATAAATTCTTTAAAAAAAATATAGGGTTATTTATTTATAATTTTAACGTTTCGTAAACTTAAATGACCCGCAAATTACGTCACAACGGATATAAAACAGGAAGAAACTTTTTTACTCTAGATGGCAGCACGTCTTCAAAACTGGGATGTAAATAGCGCGTGACCTCAATCATATTTGTGCACGTTAACATTCCACTTAAAATATGGAAGCCGACGACGGGGTTTTTTAACTAGAAATGTAATTAATAATAAAAGTTAAATCGAATTAATCCTATATTACATTAAATTTTTAATGTATTAATGAAGTTAAAAAAATGTTTCTTTTAATCTTTAAGTAGTATTAAATTTATTTATTTATTTATGTTTTTCTTTTGCAGTTTCCAATTCCAAATGCTGTTTTTTCTTTTAAAATAAAAAGGTGAAATATTTCAGAATGTTAAAGAAGAATTCTTAAAAAAGTAGGTCAAGTATTGTTGACACAAAGTTATTCTTTGTTTAAAGAGTTGCAATTTAAAGAATGGAGTTCAACAAAAACAAATGTTTACCAATTGATAATTACATATTCATTCAATTTTTACTTGGAAAAATTAAATATAATAATATAATATAACATATATACAATAATAAACAGTAAATTCAAATTTTTCCATGACTTTTCCTAATGGCATGCTTGTGTATGCATGAATGCATGATTTTTAAAGAGTTTTTTTTAACATAATTTATTAATTTTTACGCTATAAGTTTATACAGTAACACAGTACAGTAGAATATGTAGTAACTGAATAGGGTAAAAAATAAATATAAGTTGCATACAGTATACTGTTTGAATTGCCAAATGAAAGAAGTTAAATCCCAAAATTTCCCTTATGCACTGCCTTGATGTGTGTGTATATATATAGGCTATATATACACATATAAAACTCTTCATACAGAGAACATTACTAGAAATAATAATATATACACTATTTTATTTTTTTTCTTGTGTTTTATATATATAGGCCTATAGGCTTACATGATATGTATTAACACAATAGTATATATATATCATGTAAGCCTATAGGCCTATAGGCTTACATGATATGTATTAACACAATAGTATATATATATATATATATAGGCCTATAGGCTTACATGATATGTATTAACACAATAGTATATATATATATATAAATTTTATGTATATATTCTACATATTTCCAGATATATTCTTGATATATAAATATATATGTGTGTATGTAATATTAAAAAAAACATGGAAAATTATGTTGATTAACTCTTAAAATTTAACTTTTAAAACGAAAAATTTACCGGTATTATTTATTGACAGAGATTTCGAAAACTACGTGAGTCATTCTTCTTTTAATAGCAAGTTATTTAGCGATAGTGTCAGATTACAATGTTAGATCTAGCTAGCAGGCATCATTTAAAAAGTGATAAGTAAGAGCTAATTTTATTCTCGTTACTTAGTTTTTGTTATTAAAAGATCGAATTCCAATTTTGTTGAAATATTTTAAAATTACGAAAATAACACGCAAGTTAAAATAGCATAATAAATAAAATCTAAAACATATTTATTTATTTATTTATATACGAATAAACGTCATAAACACTTTCTAAAATTAATATATTTTATATATCCGAATGTAGTATCAAAATTGTAATTTATTATATTAATATAGAGATTTCTGTTTCTATCAATGTTTCTGTTAACTTTAAATTTAGATAATTAATTTTAATCTTTACTTCAATTTAAATGACAAAAATTTTAAGTTTTTACAGGTTAAACAATTGTGGTAGAGTATAAAAAATGATAAATTTAACACGAAATAAGCTTATTTATAAAAAAAATATTATAATTTATAGAATTTCTTTTACTAAAGGAGAATTAGTAAAACTCATTGGTGTATTACAGAATCCCATTTTTAGTCTTTTTAAAATGTCATCTTACAATGATTGTTCATTGTTTAATGCTGTTCTACTTTGATAAGAGATTCTACAATAGATTAATAGAAATACTCCAATCGTTTGTTCACTAATTCAAAGTTAGAACGGAATTAGAGTGAATGCCAACTTCAACGAATCGGTAGTTTAAAAGACATAAAATTAATTAAATTATAATTGTTTTAAACCAAATAAATACTAATAAGAATTGTAAAATGTTTAAAAATTGTATAAAAGATATTATTTTTTAAAATTATTTTATAGATATATGTGAGTGAGTATTAAAAATAAAACTAGTCTTAAATTAGTTTTAATAATAATAAAGCTGTTTATACATCATTGAATGAACTATTATTACATAGCGCTTCTGATAGTGGAAAAGACTAGGATGTGATAGTTTAATCCTATAAAATTATAACAATGGCTAGTAAAGCAGGGAAGGGCCCTTACCTTTGTAAATAGATAAATAAAAGAAAAAATAATTTCAAATAAGCACAGGAAAAGTTTTCAATGTGACAAACGTACCTGTACACATGTATAAAATAACTAATAGTATACTCTTCATCCACGGCGCTAATGGCTACATCCACAATGGTATAGGGGTGCATGTAGGTTTGCACTTCTAAGTCGGGCCCCCTTAATATCGGTTCTAGTTACGTTACTGACAATAGTCGCTGATGGAAACATTTTAAAAAATGGCTGTTGTTTAGACGTTATTTTGTATGCAGTTTTATTTTTAAAAAAGTTCCTGAAAAAAAAATGGCTGCTGTTTAGAGGTGACCATTATTGAACGTTCGGCAAATTAATCTAATATATATATACATATAAAATAATAAAATAAAGAAAATCATTACTGTTTCCATTTCCAGTTATAAAAGAAAAAATACACGAAAATGACCAATATTTTAAAATAAAAATATCGTTATTTTACAAGCGATTTTCTAATCTTAATCTACATAAAATTCATCGCGTAAATAAATAAAAATAACGCTTAAAAATTAATTAATCTGATGATATTCAGGATACTAAAAAAAATGTGTACATATATATTTTAGCACACATTTTCAAGAATATAAAATTCTCTCACAATGTAATGATATTATAAAGCTAAATATTATAAAGAAAATAAAACGATGTCACGTAGAAATTATAATTTTTACATTTAACATAATGAAAAACTAACTTTTTACTCTATTATCGACACAAAACAATGAACCTGAGTTTATTTTTGATCGCCAGCCAGCACTAACTTGTTTTTACTGATAGATCTGGATTGTGTCCAAAAAGCTAAGCCAGCAATTTTGATTCTGAAGGCCGATTGCTTCTATTTTATTCAATTCAGTTATCTACAAGTAGTCTAAACAGAATTATTTTTTTTTCTTTTTCCCCTCCACCTCTTCCCTTTTTACTTGATACGTTCACTTATTTACAAATTTAACGTTTAGTAATTATTACGTAAATATTACACGTTTCGTTCCTTAATTATAAAACGTGCAAATTGATTATTTCTTATAAATTATATTAATTCTTTTTATTTTATGTACTAGGCTTTGCTAGGGCCTTTCAGGGAATGGGCATTGGTGAGGTTGGATTGGGAAAGGGTGATTAAAACAATGGTCTTAGTAACTAAAATGTACGTTTATTGATCCGAGTATTTACAATAACGAAACTATCCACCTTTCTCTCAGCAATTGCAAGGTGTGTT